GCCCGCCGTCGGATGAATGGATAAAGAAGATGTGGCACATATATACAATGGAATATTACTCAGCCATAAAAAGGAATGAAATTGAGCTATTTGTAATGAGGTGGATAGATCTAGAGTCTGTCATACGGAGTGAAGTAAGTCAGAAAGAGAAGGACAAATACCGTATGCTAACACATATATATGGAATTTAAGAAAAAAAAATGTTATGAAGAACCTAGGGGTAAAACAGGAATAAAGACAGAGACCTACTGGAGAACAGACTTGAGGATATGGGGAGGGGGAAGGGTGAGGTGTGTTAGGGCAAGAGAGAGACATGGACATATATATACTAACAAACGTAAGGTAGATAGCCAGTGGGAAGCAGCCGCATGGCACACGGAAACTGGCTCGGTTCTTTGTGGCTGTCTGGAGGGGGGGGATAGGGAGGGTGGGAGGGAGGGAGACAAAGAGGGAAGCGATATGGGAACATATATATATATATATGTATAACTGACTCACTCTGTTATAAAGCAGAAACTAGCACACCATTGTAAAGCAATTATACCCCAATACAGATATTAAAAAATAAATGAGTAAAAAGCCTCAAATTTCTAGACAAAGCACAAACAAACAAAACTTCTATCACTCAGAGTCAGCTTCAAGGTCAAGGGGTGAAGGGAGCCCTTGTGCAAGCTGGGGAGCTTCCCAGACCCCTCCACCTGGTCCTGAGAGGAGTTAACTACAGGGGAGAAAGAACAAAGCCATGGAACAGACAGGTTCAAAGAACAACATTGCCCAAACCTTGACATTGAAGGGGGCACCTTAAAAATAAGCAGTTTGTGTAGATCTCCGCCTTCCTCTGGGAATTTCCAAGCGGTGTGCACTTCAAATAAGTTTGAATCGGTCAGAGCTGCATGTAGACACCAGGCAATTTAAGATTCAGCATGTTCAGAGCCCCCAGTGGTTTCCCAAGAAAGGGGATGGCTCTGGGGTAATCTTGAAGTTATCCACCAGTGACACCCTGACATAGTACATAAATCATTTAACTTTCACTTTGGAGGTGGGGTGGGCAGGGTATGGAGCAGAGCAGGCTTGCAGATGGCCAAGCTGCTCTACCTGTGTGCAGGCGATAAAGTGAGGAGGGCACATGAGTGTCCAACATCTTTCTTCAAAGAGTTCACAACACTTTTACCAAAAAGGGCACGAAAATACTAAGCTGGTGGTGGATGGGGAATGTGTTGTATTTTTAGGACGTGGCTATGTCTTGCCTGCCCTGCCACTAGCTTGTGTGGGGTCAAGTAGAAAGCAGGGACTCTACCCCACCCATTACCTTACAGACCTCAGTTCAAATCACAAGTCTACATTTATGGGCTGGGGTCACCCGGGACAAGTCACTCCTCCTGTGCCTCAGTTTCCTATCTGTACAAAGGAAATCAGGCTTCTGACCTCACAAGAAGCCACTGTCCAAGCTCCTAGCACAGTGCTTGGTGTGTTATAGGCATAAAGCATAAGCTGGGTCCCTTTCCCTTCTCTCTGGTTTCTTTTCCTTAAGATTCACTTGCCTGAGGTTCAGTCCAGTGCCACTCTGTGTGGTTTCCCTTCCTTCCTTCCTTCCTTTGTTGGGTCTTCATTGCTGCGCGTGGGCTTTTCCTAGTTATGGTGAGCAGGGTCTACTCTTCGTTGTGGTGCGCAGGCCTCTCATTGCGGTGGCTTCTCCCATTGTGGAGCATGGGCCCCAGGCGCACAACCTTCAGTAGTTGTGCCACATGGGCTCAGTAGTTGTGGCTTGCGGGCTCCAGAGTGCAGGCTCAGTAGTTGTGGTGCACAGGCTTAGTTGCTCTGCGGCATGTGGGATCCTCCCAGACCAGGGCTTGAACCCGTGTCCCATGCACTGGCATGCGGATTCTCAACCACTGCGCCACCAGGGAAGTCCCTGTGTGGTCTTTAAGACACAAAACTTGTGATGGCTCCATCCTCCTCCAAGGGCAAGGATAGAGGGGGAGGGATGGGCAAGATGTGGCGGTCACGGCTTCTCTCCCTGCTGGGCTGGGTGGGCTCCGTCCCGCACAAAAACACGTCAGTGTGGTCTGTGACCGCACCCTTGTCCAGGGCACCCTGGGTCCCCAGTGGCCCACCCTGCCTTCTCTCACTCATTAGTTTTGTTTGGACCAGTGTGGTTAAGGGCAGCATCACAGCCCCTGCACCCTGCTCCTGCCCTGGAATGCAACCTTCCCCTCCCCCTCTGGACAACTCAAGTACTTTATTAGTGTTAATTCCAGAGTCCCTCAGCTAGACATGTCTTTGCTCAAGAACAGTCAGAATCTGGAATAATGTTATCACAATACCAGGAGTAAATGGTAGTCAGAATTAAGATGACTTTCAGTGTCATCTTTTCAGGAAATTTAAATTCCTAAAGCACAATAATCTAGGGCAGTGTTTCCCAACTCTCTCTCTCTTTTTTTCATTATTGCACCCTTAAGGAGTCTTTTTAGATATTTTTTTTTCTAATGGCCCTTGCATGACATTTTAATGCCACAGATATGCTGTATATTTGTTTATGTACTGTACATGTATCTGTGCTTTATGCGTAATAAGATTTTTTGCCTCCAGGGGACCAGTCTTTGGTCTGTTGGGGGCACTGTCTTCTCCATGAAGAGCACAGATCTAGAAGATTAAGAGTGTTTCGTGTGTCAAGGAGCTGACCTGGTTAGTAGACAGCTTTCCCCAGACCAGGGGCCTCACCACTGGAAAGTAGGGTTGCCAGATTTAGCAAAGAAAATATATTGAATGTCTAGTTAAAATTTAATCTCAGATAAATGACAATGTTTTTAGTAAAAGTATGTCCTATGTGCTATTTGGGCATCTTATATTCTTTTTTTTTTTGGAAGGTGTAAATTATTTCTCACCTTTATTCTTTTTTAAAAAATTTATTTTATTGATGTATAAGTTGATTTACAATGTTGTGTTAATTTCTGATACACAGCAAAGTGCTTCTTATAGTTCCCTATGCTATACAGTAGGACCTTGTTATTTATCCATTCTATATATCTTTGCATCTGCTAGTCCCAAAACACCCAATCCATACCTCCTCTACCCCTCACCCCCTTGGCAACCACAAATCTGTTCTCTCTCTGTGAGTCTGTTTCTGTTTCCTAGATAAGTTCATTTGTGCCATATTTTAGTTTCCATATATGTGATATCATATGGTATTTGTCTTTCTCTGTCCAACTTATTTCACTTAGTACGATAATCTCTAGGTCCGTCCATGTTGCTGCAAATGGCATTATTTCTTTTTTTATGGCTGAATAGTATTCCATTGTGTACATATGTATCACAGCTTCTTCATCCATTCCTCTGTTGATGGACACTTAGGTTGCTTCCATGTCTTGGCTATTGTGAATAGTGCTACAGTGAACATTGAGGTGCATGTATCTTTTCAAATTATAGTTTTCTCTGGATATTTGGGCATCTTATATTCTGTCTGGCAACATTACTGGTGTAGGAGGATAGAAACTGCACTTTTAAGTATGACTTTTCCTAAACGGGAAGTTTATGTGCCTCCATTTACACCCACCTCCTGGACGAAAAGATGCCAGATCACTCTTAATGAGGTTTTGTTTATGTGAGATTCTCATTTCAACAACGGATATTAGAAATAGTCAAAAATGTTATGAGGTTCTTTTTAAAATAACATCTTACTTTTGCTTTAAGTTTTATATTGAATATGTATACTATTGACAAGTAATGAAGCAAGAGGTGGGCTAAATCTACTGGTGTAGTTGTTTTCTGGGCGCCCTTTCTGGAGGCTGTTGGAGTAAATCACAGTGATGTGACAGGGTGCCTGTGACATTCC